TGTCCATAGGTTGAAAATCACTGCCTTAACCAAACTGAAGGCAAATAACCTTTATGAGCCACTCCAAAGAGCAACAGCCACTTCCAAAATTCTGCTCTCTTTGAGACAGACTCAATGTTCATCGTCCTACAGTGTACCCCACTAACATCTACGACAAAAGTAGCAGCAAATGCATAACACATCAGAAAGTAAACAGCTAAACCAGGGATAATGCTTATTTAGTCCAACATTTTAGCAGTGGAACTTTTTTCAGTAAAAATTCTCCCTGAAACCCAGTAGGTAAAACAGATTTTTCTAGACAAATAGGTTCTACAGTCAGTTTAAGTCTCTACTGATTTACAGAAAAGACTTCTCACATTTTGCAGAAAACCTGAAGCACCTGAGAGAGTCCTTAGAGTCACTTAGAAGACTATCTAGACTGTTAAGATATCACTGAGCACCCACTGCAGATTCGTCCTCTCCAGCCTCAGCAGCAGCTTACCTCCAGCTGGCTTCCTTCCCCTTCCCCACAACGGCTGCCTCAACATTCTTCACTCAAGTCCCACTCGCTCCCCAGGCCCTCACTCCCTGGAGAGCATGTGGACTCCTTCACCAGAGGGTCAGGCCTAAACAATGGAATCGCTAAGATTCCTTCCCTTTTCCCTCAAGCTGGCTCTAAGGCTCTGTATCCCTACTCGTTCTGAGCTCCTTCTCTATTATCTTAGCATTTTCCCCACTTCAGGCATTTAGATATCACCTTCATGATTTTCGCCATATCATATTTTTGCCATATTTGTACTGGTATTACTTAACAGTTTTTTTTAATATCAATTCATTTTGTTTCCTTACATACATTTAAACTTTTTTCATTAAAATCTTTTTCACAGAAATTTTTAAATATATACAAAAATAGGCAAAAACAAGGATCCCCCAGGTACTCAGCATCTTCAAAAATTACGAACTCATAACCAGTCATGTCTCCATTTATACCCATCCACTTGCCCCCATCCCAAACATTTTGAATCAAATCCCAGTCATCATATCATTGCATCAATAAATATTTCGGTATGTGTCTCTCTGAAAGATAAGGACCTTTTTAGATGTATCTTTTTTGAAATTAGCAGAGAAGGAAAAAGAACAGGTATAAAAGTAAGGAAGAACCATAAGCCAGAGAGAAATACAGCATCCAAAGTGAGAGAAAGGACTAGAAATGTGAGAGACAGGCAGAGAAAAGCAGGACAAAGGCTGGCCAGCAAAGTCTCCAAAGACTGAGAGCAACAGTCCCAGGGCTAGGAAAATGGTGGTTACAGGTGAGGGCTCTGGTACAGGAAGTACTGAGAGAACTGTAGGGAAAATAGGAATGCCACTGGTGGGTGGCAGGTACATCCAGGAACCGGGATGGGAAGGATGGAAGTTGGGGAACTGGTTTGGGTCTGGAGACTGATATGGGGTGCTAGATAAACGACCCTGAAATTGGAGAAACAACAAAGAGACTGAGAAAGGGTGGGGCCTGAGAAGGAGAAGAAGGTGGGAACTGAGTGAACAGTGAGGCTAGGAAAGGCATAGCTTGGAAGTGAATTAAAATGGGGTGCTGGTTTAGAGAAGAATTTGTTGTTACAAAATGTAGTGTAAGGTAGTCTTGAGAAGGAACACTGGGAGGTTTAAGAGAAGGGACGCTGAGGACAGGGTGGGCACAAAGGGCTGAAAGGTATATATTGGGTGGGGGCTAGGAGAGGTATAGGGTACCTGACTGTCTTCGCTTAACGGACCATGATCTTGGTCTAAGGCAAAAGGACTTCCTCACCCCACCAATGGGTTCCTAACTGTAAGACCCAGTGAGGCTTAGCCTTCACTCTACTTATTTCTCTGCAGCATTTCACTCTCTTAATCACCATCTCCTTGCTTCATATCTTTGATTTCCATGACACTCTAGTTTTCTCAGTCTTTGGATTCTCATTCTACCTCCCAACTTCTTCCCCTCACAATCCTTGAGTGGGTCTTCCTCCTCTTATATCCGCCCTTCAGAGGCAACATTCACCAGGGTTATGCACTTCCTGATCAACCTTATCTATTCCCACATCTATATATTGGTTCCCAAATCTGCATCTCTAGCCCTACCTGCCATCTTGAGCCTGGGACCCAAACTTCTAGCTGCCTATTGTACAACTGTCTCCACACTGATGTGCTGCAGATATCTTATATTCAATGTATTCAAAAACAATTTTTTTTAGCCCCACAAATCTATTCCTGCTCCCATTTTCCTTACCTTGGTCACACCATCACCAGCCACCCATTTGAGAAAACTTGGAATCAGTTTTGATACCTCCCTCTCCTTCATCACCTGGAGCAGGCATGTTTGTGGCTACCAGCATTTTGTAAATATCTATTCTATATTTGAGAAATTCCTCAAGCTCCCAAGAGTGGAAGCCAGAACCTCCCTTTCCCAGCCTCCCTTGCTGCCAGACTACCTAGAATAGAGCAAACTAAATCCACCCAAAGCTAGAAGCAGGAAGGAAATAATGGTTAGAGTGGAAATAAATGAAATAAGGAAGAGAAAAATATAGAAAATCAATGAAGCTGAAAGCTGGTTCTTTGAAAAGATAGGCTTTTGACCCAGTGAGGAAGCCAGAGCTGTAGAGTATCCACTTTCATGAGGTTGGAAGTAGAGGTGTGCAGTTTGGGTCAAGCAGTGGTGGAGGTTCTGGTATCCCATACCCAGCATCAGTGGTTACTTGCAGCGTGATATGCAGTGCCCAGTGGTACAAACAGTGCACTCTTCACCATTGGGGCCCCAGGGTATGGTATCAGCAGGGTTCCTGGCTGTGTGGCCCCCAAGCCTGACTCTGGATCTCCTGGAAATCCTTTGGCCTAAGAAATACTCTTCCATAATCCTTTTTCTATTTCACTTAGCGGAGGGTATACCTTTGCTTGCAACTAAGTGCACTGACACATAAGTTGCTCCACTTTCCCAAAAGCAGTTACTAAGTTTTATCTTCTGGACTTATAAAATACTCTAATATTAAGTCCCTCATTTCCATTCCCATTGCCTCCATCTTGGTTCCGGCTTCGTTGGCTACCTAGGCTTCCAGGCCCCCTTACTTCAGCATACCTTGCAATGTATATACCTTCGCTCACATTGCTCTATCATCTGTGCCTTAAAGATACCTCCATTATAGCACTGACCCCACTCCTTTGAAGTCATTTGTTTACATCACTGTCTTAGTCCATCGACCTGCCATAAAAAAAATGCCACAGACTGGATAGCTTATAAACAACAGAAAATTATTTCTCATAGTTCTGGAAGCTAGAAGTCAGAGAGCAGGGTGAGGGCCCTCTTCCGGGCTGCCAACTTCTCGTTGTATCCTCCCATGGTGGAAGGCCTGAGGGAAGGTGGAAGATGAGGGAGCTCTATGGGTCTCTTTTATAAGAGCACTAATCCCACTCAAGGGGGCTCCCCCTTCATGACCTAATCACCTCCCAAAGGCCCCCCCCCCCAATACCACATCACATTGGGCATTAGGACTCCAACATATGAATTTGAGGTAGAGGGGCACAAACATTCAGACCATAGCAATCGCTGTTTTTTCCATTAGCCAGGGAGTTAAGGCAGTGTGGCTTAGCGGAAAGCACAGAAGTTTTGATGGCAGGCAGCCATAGGTTGAACCTCAACCCACTAGCTGTGGAATTCTGAGAAATTCACTTAACTTCTCTAACTCTCGGTTTCCTTCATATAATGAGAGTGATTACTTTAGTGGAAGCAAATTTAGCAAAGAATCAAAGACAGGACTATTATAGATTCCATTCCCCTGGGTACTGTCACACAAGCTTCCATCTATACCAGAACTGCTCAGAATCATCTGGAGTGTGAGCTAAGGCTGGGCTCAAGTCCTGCCTGCTCCAGGCCCAGCCTAGCGATGAAAGAACTGTGCCCTTTAGCCCCAGCCTCTCTGCCTGGGCAACTCCCTGTCCTTCCTGTACCCCAGGAGTATGCTCAGTAGATCCCTCACAGTCCACTGATATCAAATTGTACTGGCTGAGCTTCATCACTGAGAACCTTTCCCACAGGGTAGTAGGACAATAATTGCGATAATGAGAGTAAACATTTGGCATAGTAACTGACACATGGCAAGCAGCACTCTACAAATAGTAACCACTTTCATTATTCATTCGGAGCAAAGATGCATCCTCTTTGCATTCCATCAGCACCTGGAACAGTTAGAGGGATGGAAATTATACTTGATAGAATTTTAGAGAATATATGAATTCATGAACAAATTCTGTTTTTACTGGACCTAGGATGTTTTCCTCTCCCCGAGTCCTTACCTTTCTTCACTTAGCAAAATCCTCCTTCAACATCCACCACAAAGTGCACCCATCTTCCAAAGCCTTTCTTACTACCCCCAGTCAGAATTAATCCATCTTTCCTCCAGATTCCCAAAGCTCTTTGTTTATAGCTGATACAGAACTATCATAAGGCTCACAACTTGATTTATAGTTATTCATGTAAGAGTCTCTCTAATTATACATGTATTTATTTAGGACAAGGGCCTACATTATTTTCCTTTGTAAAGTCATAGTACCTGTGATGGTTAATTTTATGTGTCATCTTGACTAGGCCATGGTACCCAGACATTTGGCCAAACACTAGTCTAGATGTTGTTGTGAAGGTATTTTTTAGATGAGATTAATATTTAAATCAATAAATTTTTAGCAAAGCAGATTACTCTTCATAATTGATTAGGTCTCATCCAATCAGTTGAAGGCCTTAATAGAAAAGAGACTGACCTCCCCAAGGAAGAGGGAAGGCAGCCTCCAGACTGCCTTCAGACTTGAGCTGCAACATCAGCTCTTCCCTGGGTCTGCAGCCTGCTGGCCTACCCTGCATATTTTGGACTTGCCATCATCCACAATCCAATTCCTTAAAATAAATCTAGATAGATAGGTAGATAGATAAATAGATAGATGATAGACAGATAGATAGATAGAGAGATAGATGATAGATAGATAGATAGATAGATAGATAGATAGATAGAAAGATGGAAAGATAGATTGATTGACCCTATGAGGCGGGGGTGTAGCTATATATATATATATATATATATACATATCTATCTTGTGTCACATATACACCCTATATCTATTGATTCTATTTCTCTGAGAACCATGGCTAATACAGTGTCTCTCCAGTATGTGCCTTCTCATGGTAGAGGCTCAGTAACTGTTCCATGAATAGATGGAGCTGGAAGTGAACAGAAGAAGAAGAAAACTGCTGAAGAATGTGAGGCAATCAAGCACAGGGACAACGAGTGCAAGGAAAGTCTTGGAAGGGTAGAACATCACCCTGAGGGTAAGGCCTCAGGAATCTCACCTCTTATCCAGTTTTCCTAGACAAGGTCCAGGGCAGACACTGCCTGTTCAGTAATAAAGATAATATGCGAGGACAGACGTTCCTTTGGCTGAATCTCTAAGACATCAGGGTTCAGAGAGAGTAATGGTGAAGAAACTCCCAAGCAGTGAGTCAGTACCCAGTAAATGCTGCTGCCTGATGAAAACAATGATACGACTGTTACCTAGATGTACACCTGAGTTCAGCAGCGCAGGTCGGCCATGAGCCTCTGTCCCTCCCATACTGTGCTTACCCTTTGGCTTGTCAAACCTGTTGTGTAGCTTACATCTTCCCTCATACTCTCCCTGACACCTTTATTCCCAGAGCCCCTTATCTCTCATCACCTTGCACCAGCTAGGGTAGCCTGTCAGCTGCTTGGGCTTCCCAGCATCGCCCAGCCAGGGCCACATTTAAAAGCTGTCTCACTCTCTAGTCTCTGCAAATACAGGAACTGTGTAAGCAAGTTTTTTAAAGGGGAAACTATAAAATGTGGACAGTAAATTACATCGCTGTTTTCCCCTCCCATTGAAAAGTGGCAGGCTGCTAAGTGGTTTGGAGCTCAGTCAGTGTTTCAGATTAAAGGCAGTTGAATTTAAACCCCATATTATTTCTGGAGCATGAAAAAGATAGAACCTTAAATAGTCCCCATAACTGACAGGGGAAGGGGGGGACTGTCAGTCATTATTGCTATTTTTGTATTTGTAGATGGATGGAAGGTCTCTGGAGCTTTTTAAAGCACAAGTATACCCATTTTAAAGCAAGCCAATTTAAGAAAATCCAGTCTAGCAAAACAGATGAATTAGCAAGAGGTTCTTCATATTACAAAAGAATTCTTTACTCCAAAAGCAATTAAGACAGTCTCTATGATTATTAACAGTTTAAAAGTCTACTACAAATGTGTTTTGAATGATCCATCAGAAAAGTATTTCCCTTATTGAAGAGTCCTCGTAGTTATTTAGAGATTATATTGAGCCATATCCACATTGCATTATTTAAAACCTGTATTTACTGAAAGCCTATATTGCGCAAAGGATTTCCCACACATACACAGATGGCCCCTCTTGTCAGATTGAATTATAAAAGGAAAATTAAAAGTAAATAAAGAATATAACTTTAAGAATCAGATTATTTGAGATTCAAAATAATATCCTACGTACCCATTTTTACATGGCATTAACTTTAAACAAAAGATTGAGTGCCTGATGTTATAGAAGACTTGAATACATAATTTGTTCGCTACACAGGTATATTTTGCTTACCTAATACCTCTACAACACTGTGCTATCCCCTAAAGTGGATACAAAATGAAGGTGATGTTTTCCCTCCAAGAAAGCTGGAGAAGCAAGCCATTCATATGAATCACTTAAGAAATGAGGTCAGAAATTATATAGTGCCACATAGAAAGTCACAGACAGCAAGTACAGCAGGAAAGGAGAGACCAGTATAGGCTGAAGCAGTGAGAGATGTGAAACTTGAGCTGGCTGTTAAGGGAGACAAAGATGAGAGGAAGAACAGCAAGAATTTGTACCCAAGCTGCCTTAAAACAAGACCAGGAAAGAACTGAAAATGGGAGGGAAGAGGAGGAAAGAGCAGAGGTATAAAAATAGAAACAGAAGCAGTTAGAGAAGCTATCATCAAATAGCAAGCAATGGGAATGAATGGAACAATACAGAGTCGGGGGGAAAACGGTGTGCAAAAATCATAAAAGATCAAACGCCACGATAGCAAAAGGCAGCCAGGCTGGCTCTGAGGGCCCTATTGTTCAGGCTGACTCTATGGGCCAGAGTCACACTAAAAGGATATACTATAATTCGACGGTGTCCAAGTAACGTTTAAACCAATTTAATGATAGACCTAGTTTGAAGCTCACAGAACAGTTTTTCTTGTCCTCTCTTCATTAATCTGCCAGCACTAGCAGTTTTCTGTCACGAAATGCTTTTCACAAAGTGCTAACAGGAATGTAAGTGTTCTAGCCTGTTCTCATCCTCATTACACTCTTATGATGTGTCCTTTCTTCCTCTATAATAGATTTCCTTAATGCAGCCCCTGACTCCATTGAATTGCCCTCCAACCATTGGAAACTTTGTCCACGATTATCCCAGGGACAACATGTGCTATTTTATTAAATCACAGTAAGGCGACAGATTTTGAGGAAGATCTGCAGGTTAATTGCCCTAGAATTAAACCTTTAAGTTCCACAGCAGGGCAGAGGTAAGAGTCATCCTGGCACAAAGAGAACTCCCGCTCTGGCATGAGGTTGAGGGACTGAAGCAGAGTTTAAGAGGTCCAGGGTTAGAGGGTGGAGGACCAGCTACTTCGTATACCAAAAATGCTAGTTATTTCTAGATCATGATCTCTTCTGGTTGCCCAGTACCTTACACTTTAAAAAATTATTTCCCTTACCTTGTCTCATGTTCTAAATGCTTTATAATAAAAGACCCTTTAAAACTAGAAATTAATTTGCTTCATTGTGGTTTACCATATACACTGTATAAAGCCCAAGTCTTAAGTATTAAACTGGATGAATTTCTACGTATATACACAAATACACACACACACACATATATACTGTCACGCAACCACCACTCCAGATGAGGATATAAAGCATTTCCAGCACCCTAAAAGGCTCTCTTGTGCTCCTCTCCTCAATAAGTTTTTTCTTCATAGCACTGAAGCTTTTTTAAAATAAAAGAGACAATAACTCTCAGCTATGCTTAATCCACTGACATTTGGGGAAGCTGATTTGATTCATTGATGTCCTTTCAAAGTTTCAAGAAATAGTGATGGAAAAAAGCAAAAAAATGACCGGTGTTCATGCTTTACACCCAAGAAAAAATTTACTACCACTGTCATCAAACTCTACCCTTTTGAATTCACTCATTAGGGATTTTTAAAAAATACTTTTAGAAGAAAATCATATCTAAGATATATTGGTAACAGGAATACCAAGTACCAGAAGATAATTAGCCTCTAAAAACTTTCATCTAGAAACATACCTCAATATACAGCCATTACCAACATGTGAGGTCAGTGGAAAGAGGATAAAGGGAGTTGAGCAGGGGAGACAGCTGGTCTGGCTATATTTTTGAGAATCTTTTGTTAATTTTTATGCTTTTAAATTTATCTCACTTAGCAAGGAAATTAGATACCAGCGTGGATGTCACTGAGGGTAAGAATCAGAAGCAAAAAACAATTCCCAGAATAGGGAATTTCACACTTTTCTGAGAACATTAGACTGGGGTTATTTCAGGAAACTATAGACTTATGACTGTTTAAATAGTTAAGCAGGTAACTTTTTTCCCCTGTAGGCCACATAACACAAACCACAGACAATAAATTATCACTCGTGAAGATCAGGCAGGATGAAGAGAAGTTTCACAAATGCAATAAACTGTAGACAGATAGCACCAAGAGACTTCACCATGATAATCACCCCCATGGTCAGCATTTGAAGCACATTCTGTAATTAGAAAAGGCTGAAGTCTTTAAATTTAATCATCATCAATTTAGTGAATGCACAAAAATGAAATCTTTATGAGAGCTGCAATTCCATACTTTTGCCCATCACTCAACAGCTGTCTGTAGTACTCTAATGCCAAATGTATTTGCAACACAACATAACCAAAGATAGCTATGAGCAAAGCAACTTAGAGAAATGCTTGAGACCCTTGATTTATGAGGTTCTCTAACTTTCTCCATCCCCTGACATAATCTCTGTTCAACATTCACTATTGTCTATGGCAACAAAAGACAAAAGAACCAAGCCAGGCTTCCAACTACCACCTGGTTAATAGCATCAACAAATACTGAAGTCAAAGAAAAAAAGAATACTGTCCCTTTTGTTACCATTTTCTTTCTCATTCTCATAGCCAACAGGACACACAAATCTAGGTCACTTAAAACCCTTTAACAGCTATATCATCCTGAAGAAGTTACCAAGTTAAATTACTCCCATGTTTTCATCTGAGGATAAGCCACAATGACCACCAGTCTAGCTGTCCCACAGATAAACTTATGAATGGATCCTGTACTGCTTCGGAGGCCCCCACCTACAGTCTCACATGCTCAGTTCAAACTAAGGATGGATTAGGAGCCTCCAGCAAACACATACTATCTTGTGTTCCAAAAGCCTTTGTAACAGCTTAGTACAGTGGGAGGCAGAATTATGAACTTCAAATCCCAGCTTAGGCGCTACTTGTGTGAATTCAGCAACACACCTAACTTCTCTGTGCTTCAGTTTCCTCACGTGTAAATTGGGAATGACAGGCAGCTACCTTCAGGATTGTTGAAAGTATTAAATAAAATAAGGCATGGAAAGTGCCTATGACAGCCTCCAACTAAATAAGACCATACAGCAGGATTGTATATTGAAGTACAGTTGTATGTCTGTGTGTAATGAGCTTGAATGGGGTCTCTGATCTTTGCTGACCTACCAGAATAAGAAATGGTACGACTTCAGATGTGTCCCCTGGGAAATGGACTCTGAGATAGATGATTCTATGCAGGAAAGTTCTTGAGATATGCCCTCAGAATCAACAATTATGGAGGAGTAGAGGAAGTAGGAATGGGCACAGGGAGGAGTTGAACCATACTGCAATTGCAACAAAGGTCTCAGTGATCTCACAGGGTTCTCCAGAGCTGAGATGGTCCTTCTGAGTTGTACCACTTAAGTCAAGGGACTCAGCTTTATAATCCCACATTGACCAGTCATTCAGTGTGGGCTATCCCCCAGGGAGAGGCATAACCTTGGGTGAGGTGGCTACCTTCAGCTGAGGGTAATGCCCAGGAAGGGACTTAGCTGAGAATTATCAGCCATCAACTGTCCAGCAACTGAGTGCCTCAGTACTGAGGGGAAGGATCTCAGCAGCACACGATATCCACTACAGTCCAGCACTTGCACCACTTCTATCCACTTGCTTCATATAATAAGTTCTGGGGAAAAGTCCTCCAAGAGTCTAATTGGCCTCTTTTCCTGAGGATGTTTACAAGTAAGAAGTTAGTGGGACAAACTCACTGCAGCTGGTCTCATGGCTATAGCCGATACTCATTGTCTCCCTCCTCTATTACCCATTCTAGATTATTCTTATGCTCAGCTAGCACTCGTCTGGTGCTACACTCTTCACTACACTCTTTTGGTAGTTTAATTTGTGGGGTGACCCAGATCTCATCCCTGAGAGGACTGTGTCCCTAGTCATCATGCCCTTCTCAGGCCGTGACTGATGTATTTTTCCATTTACTCTTAAAATTGGGCAAAGGAATACTAAGAAATTCCCCAGTGGATCACCTAAGTGCTAAATAGATTTTTCCATACCCCACTGTGTAGCATCAGACTTACTGCTTTCTCTTCAGGGTCAATTACTCCTGCCAGGATGGTAACTCCTTTTCTTAACTGCTTGTCTCTTGGCCTGAGGAACGAGAAGCAATGGGGTGTCAACATAACTTAAAGTTTAATAGGACTGTAATACTGTCCCTTGATGGAAGTGTTCCTCTTCTCGGAAACAGGACCTCTAAACCCACAGATCTCAGAGTCATGGGGACAGGAAGCCCAAATTGTCCAAAGGACCACTGAGAGAGTTGGTAAATGGGACTGTTTCTACCTCCAACCCTTGGTCCCTGGATCCATGTATTCCACCTCTTGGACACACAGAACCATATAATGATGGTTGATTGAGGGGATAAGCTGCACTTACACTCCATCCTTACAGCTTATTGTTTCCAAGCTAGGATCTCATTTGTGCTTTTACAAGGTCATTCTATCACTCGACTAGACAGGCAGCTTCTGGGTGGTGTGGTATTTGAAAAGGCCAGCAGATCCTATGATCATGTATCCACTTCCACATCTCCTTTGCTGTGAAAAGGGTTCCTTGGTTTGAGACAACGTTATATAGATTCCATGCTGGTAGATCAAACACTCTCCAAGATGTGGGATAGTGGTGCTGATTGATGCCCTACAGGAAGATAAGGCAAACCGACACTCAAAACACATGCTGATTCCAGGGTGAAAAGGGTCCAATGTAATCAAACTGACACCAGTTGTTGGTTGGTCTTCTTGAGGGATGATGCCAAACAGGAGACTCAGCATTGGTCTCAGTTATTAATTGAATGTTTGTGTCCCCCCAATATTCATATGTTGAAACCCTACCCCTGCAATGTGATGGTATTAGGCGGTGGGGCCTTTGGAAGGTAATTAGGATTAGATGAGGTCATGAGAGTATAGCTCATGAATGGGATAAGTGCCCTTACAAGAATCACAAGACAGCTTGCTTCATTTTTCTGCTCTCCACCATGTGAGGATATAATGAGAAGCTGGCAGTCTGCAACCTGGAAGAAGGCCCTCAACAGAATTTGACTATGCTAACACCCTGATCTCAGACTCTACAGAACTGTGAAAAATAAATTTGTTTATAAGCCACTCAGTCTATGGCACTTTGTTGAAGCAGCCTGAACTGACTAAGTCAGTATCTATGGCTGGAATTTGTGCATTCAGCAGCAGCAGTAACTAGATGAACTCTGTAAGGGAGAACTCATGCTGTTGGTCTGTGCATAGCCTCCATTACTGCCACCACGCCAATTCCACTTATGTTCCCATTGTCAGCGTTGAGACGGCCAACGACAGAGATTTGCTGATGTCAGCTAAGTCATTTGGTCTACTTGCTTGTTTAGTGCCTCTCCCATGACGGATGTTCTCTGGTGGAGATTAATATGTGATATAAATATCTTCATACTATGTGCCCACTCCCATGTGTCCATCTATATGCTTCTCTCCAGAACTCTTTATCCCTTATCTTCTAATCTTTCTCCTTCCCATTCCCTGACCAACCAGACAAACCATTTTCCATAGCCTGTGAGTTTATAAATATTCTTACTTCAGGCTACTTCTCCTTCCACACACAATGGATAAGAAGAGAACCACCCAAAATTCTACCCATTGGGAGGATTTCCCCTCATCACTGTCTTTCAGGGCCACCTCTGAGGGGCAGTAATGCAGCAGTCTATTTTTGGTTATACCCACTCATCTTTGAATCCAGCTCAGGCTTTTTTCTCCTCTGTTATCTAGTCTTAGGACTCCTGTCCCTGCAGCCCCCTTGTGAGCCAAGAAAGAAGCACCAGCGCAACAATGGTGAATGGCATGGGATTCATTAACGTACAACTTTTCTTTACAATAGACGGTGGTGTGACCCAACCCAGCTCATGATAGACAATTTGGGTTGCATGATCATTTGGTATCCCATAGTCTAGAGCCCTGTAGCACCCCAGGAGCTGTTTATTAAATGTTATATAATTCTCTATATGGCATGTGCATGGGTCTGCATTGTGATTCTTCTTTGGAGGTGTTAAAGACTGAATGTTTGTGTCCCACAAAATTCGTATGTTGAAGCCCTAACCCCCTAGTGGAGCTGTACTTGGACATGGGTCCTTTAAGGAAGTAATTAAGGCTAAATGAGGTTATAAGGTTAGAGCCCTGATCCAATAGGATTAATGTCCTAATAAGAAGAGACACAAGAGAGCTCGCTCGCTCTCTCTCTCTCTCTCTCTCTCTGTCTCTCTCTCTCTGCCCATGCACTCAGGAAAGGCCATATGAGGACACAGTGAGAAGGCAGGCATCTGCAAGCCAGGAAGAGCTCTCACCAGAAACTGATCCTGCTGGACCTTGGTCTGGAACTTCTGGCCTTCAGATCTGTGAGAAAATAAATTTCTGTTTTTTTATGGCAGCCAAAGCACACTAATATAGGGAGCTTTCCACAAACTCCACACAGTATCTTTTCCAACCAGCAACAGCTCTTTTTTCAGAGTCTGCTTGGTCATATAGCCTAAGCAGCAAGGCCACATGCACCACAGCCGAGAACTAGTGCAGAGTGCTTTCCTGCTATGGGCCCTACTCAAAGATGGCAGCCTTTTATATCATTGAGAAAATATGTTGAAGAAATGTTCTCAAATATGGAATATACTGCCTCCAGAACTTCAGAGGCCTAGCAGATGTTGTACTTACTTCTTGATGATAGGAGGCTTGAAATGCAAGAATTTGTTCTTTATTTATTTTGGACAGACATCCCAGCATGCCCCAGATGAATGGACTTCAGAAAACTTCACTATTGTGGCAAGTGTTGAATCTTCATTGGGTTTATCTTCCACCATCTAAAGCATATGTACTATCTACCAACACTTCCAGCATACTTGCCATTTTTCGTTCATCCAGTCTGATTAGTGTGGGGTTATTGATATAGAGGATGAAAGCTATATACAGTAGAATGTCCAGATGGTGCATGTCCCTTTGGACTATATTATGTTAGAAGGTGAGAGAGTTCATATAACCCTAGGACTATTATCATTCTAGTGAATGCAAACTGTTTCTGATCCCCCTTCCTGTTAGGAACGGAAAAGAACACAGACACCAGACTAATGCTCATGTACCATTTACCTGAGGCTGTGTTGATCTGTTCTAGCAAAGATACATCTGGCACAGCAGCTGCAATTGGGTTATTACTTGGTGGAGTTTGCAGTAGTTCACTTTAATCCTCCAGGATCTGTATAGTTTTTGAAGAGGCCAGACAAGACTGGTAAATACATATGGATATGATAGGGACCACCTATATCCTTTAGGTCTTTAAGGGTGGCACTAATCTCCGTTCATTGCCTCCAGGATATGATATTGTTGTTGATTTACTCTCTTGGCTGGGGTTGAGGGCAATTTCAGAGGCTTCCACTTGGCCTTCCTCAATATGATAATTCTTACCCCATAGGGAAAAGAACCAACATGGAAGTTCTACCAACTACCTATATACCCATTCCAATTACACATTCAGAGCCCAAGAAAGGGGCCAGACTGGTCAGCCTGGTGGCATAGTGGTTAAGTTTGTGTGTTCCACTTCACCGTCCCAGGGTTCACAGGTTTGGATCCCAGGCATAGACATAGCACCACTTGTCAAGCCACGCTATGGCAGCAGCCCACATAAAACAGAGGAACATTGGCACAGATGTTAGCTCAGCAATAATCTTCCTCAAGCAAAAAGAGGAAGATTGGCAACAGAGGTTAGCTCAGGGCCAATCTTCCTCAAAAAGAAAAAAAAGAAAGAAAGAGACCACAAAGTGGATCTGTGGACCCAGTGGACCCATTGGACCCATTGTGAGCCAGACCTGAGCCAGGCTTCCATTTATTACTAGCCTTCATAGACCCTACCCCCCTCCCACAACAGAGGACCCTAGGTCTCTAGGTATCAGTGTTAATCTGGACCCTGTCTCCAACAGTCCTCAAAATGTTTGAGTATTCCCCTTTTCCCAGTATATGGTTACCTAAGTAGATGGCCTTAGGTCCTTTGGGGAAGGACTGGGAGAAACATTACCATGTACGTGTGAAATATGACATGAGTGGAACCATATTAAAATAGAGCTGGAGCAGCCATTTCAGAGGAATTGCCTTGCACATCTTGTTTTCTTTACCTTCCAAACTGGACCAAACCGCCAACATTCCAAGAAGTCTGTAAGGACAAGAATATCCTGTTTGTAAGGACTGATAAAATTGGACTTTGCTGATGACCAAATCGATAACCAATCAATGAAGGACAAGTCTAGCCTTTTACCTGATGACTGAATCTCTAGCCAATCTATGAAGTACAAACCTAGTCTTACCTCATCTAGCACCAATGAACTCTAATACAACTTACCTCATCTTCTTCCCTTTTTTCCATAAAAACCCGAGCCCTCTCCTGTACTTGGGACACTATTTGGGTTTCTACTTGAATCTGTCCTCCCCAAACTGCAATTCTTTTTTTTTTTAATTTTTAATTTTTTTTTATTTTTCCTTTTTCTCCCCAAAGCACCCTGGTACATAGTTGTTTATTTTTAGTTGTGGGTCCTTATAGTTGTGGCATGTGGGATGCCACCTCAGCATGGCCTGATGAGTGCTGCCATGTCCATGCCCAGGATTTGAACCGGCGAAACCCCGGGCCGCTGAAGCAGAGCACGTGAACTTAACCACGCGGGCACAGGGCCGGCCCCCCAAATTGCAATTCTTTGACTCCAAAATAAATGCCTCTCTGCCTCTCATTTTGACTCTTTCCTTTTAGGTTAACACACATTTGCCACACTGTTGCAGGGTGCTTGTTCCTGAGGACCTAGCCTTTCCTTCAATTCATGGCTTCTAAGTCTGAAAACTGGCTCAGGTCCAAAACCTGAGCAAAGGATTGTTGGCTTTTTATTAAGACAGTTGCCCTCAGCTTCCTGATTATCCATCCTCCTGAGTCCTGAAGCTCCTTTAGGGTTTAGTCTCTTTCATTCTTAGCAAGCTTAGCACTTCCCTGGCCAGGTTAAGTTGGACTTGAAGCCAGCTGTTAGTCAGGATCTGAGGAGGATCTATGTGGCTGTTTTTTAGGGGGTTGGTTTTTTTTTTTTTTTTTTACATTTTAATTATTTTATTGAGGTCATATTTACACATATAACATTGTATAAATTTCAGGCATACATTATTACATTTCAGCTTCTGTATAGACTGCATTGTGTACACCACCAACAGTCTAGTTTTTACCCATCACCATACATATGTGCCCCTTTACCCTTTTTGCCCTTCCCCTACTCCCTTCCCCTCTGGCAACCACTAATCTGTTCTCCTTATCTTTGTGCTTGTTTGTTTGTTTATCTCCCATGCAGGAGTGAAGTCATACAGTATTTGTCTTTTTCCATCTGACTTATCTCACTTAGCATAATACCCTCAAACGTTGCCTTCAGGTAAAGGGGGGGCAGTCTCTAACAGAAAGAAAAAGCTACTTTGCAAGCCTTGAAGGTTCAGGGAGAGCTAGGTGCCTTGACCCAGATGTTCCCATCTCAAGTTTTAGGGTCTTATTCTTTTCCCAATGTGGGAAAATTTGGCATAGTAAAATTTGTCATGTGACCTTGGCATGGCAAATTTGCTGGGGCTGAAAATTTAACGTTTTCTGTAAATGCGCTACTCTTAAAATTAAATCCTGATTGTAGTTCTCAGCGTTTTCTGCCCTCAAGCTGTAGGAGATGAATTTTTTTATTTGCTGCTAAGGAGCCCTCCCCCTACCGCCCCTGACTTTCACAATTCTTCTTCAGTTGGTAATAAATCATGGTCTTTCTCCTATGCGTTAATAACACTCGGCAAGAGCCATCCAATTCCATTGTTCCTATAATTAATACTTTCACCTCTCAAAGATCTGAGATGTTGTACCAGCCTGTTCATTCTTTTCCATCCCAGCTCATCACCAGTGAAAGCATAAATAATTGAATGGTTACTTCATGATAAGGATTATCCACCATTGCCAGCCAGCTGCAGTATTAGATTCAGCTTCCTCCGAGTACTTTTAGTACCAAATCGCTTAGGTCAGTTTCCCTAGGAAATAGATTCTGAAGGAGATTTGAGCGCAGAAAGTTTATTGAGGAGGGTATTTGGCATGGGCACCTGTGAGGGAGTGAAGGAAATAGGTGTGGACAGAGAGGAGTTGAACTTCAGTGCAGTCACACAACAAAGGATTCAGTTGTCACACTGGGAATCTCCAGAACTGAGATGGCCCTTCTTCACAGCAATGAGATTGAGCATTCATTCCCCTGCCTGACCAGTCATTATATGTAGGCTGCCTCCCGGAAGGTGGTGTGATCTGGTGTGAGACAATTCTTTGGCTGAGGGCAATACCCAGAGAGGGACTTAGCTTAGTGCTCTTAGCCTCCAACTTTCCCAGTTACTGGGAGAATTAGTGGCTTGGTTCTGAAGGAGAGATCTGGGTAGTAAACCATACTATCTACTATGTAGTATAAACACACTACACACTCACACAATTTTTTTTTAAATGAGACCTAGGATAAGGTCAAGAAACAGTGCTTCCTTTGCTAGATAGTTCTAAGAAAAATAAGGCACCCTCCCCCCTTTCAAAATGCTGAAGACTGCCCTACCACAAGGAAAGTACACAAATGATCTCAATCAAGGACAAGGTCAAGAATTTAAATACTCTTGCCACAATGAAACCAAAATATAATGTCTAACATAGATAAATGTCAGTTCAAAATATTTAATTGCACAAACATAGACTGGAGGAGACCTGATATGATAACATTTCATGCAGAAAATATCCAGGGGGGTTAGTTGTTTCCAAGTTTAATATGTGTCAAGAGTATAAAAGCAACTACCAAGAAAGCAAATGCATTTGTCTCTATTAACATAGCCAGCAGATGTTCTGGTTCTGCCATATATCCCGTAATGGACAACCACATCCGGAGAGATACTCAGTTCTTGGCCTCACATTTTAAAAGGCACAATTCAAAACCAGACTGAGTCCTAAGAACAGCAATCAGAGGTCTGAAAATAATGCCCTATGGAGAAAAGTTGAAGAGTTTGGGGGTGTTTACTCCAGAAAGGAGAGGCCTTCAAGAGGAAAAAAGGAGTTGATTGAATATATTAGGTCTGTGTTTCTCCAGAACGAAGGACTAGGATTTGTGGGTAGAAATTACAGAGAATAGATTTCAACCCAATATAATGAAAAATTTTCAAACAATTAGAAGCAATGGAGCCAGAAGTGATGGCCCAGCCCTGAAAGTGTCCAAACTAAGTTTTCCCTCAGGTATGCTAGGGGTCCCCCCAAAATACATACTTTAAAATCTTATTTTTCTTGGGGCCGGCCTGGTAGCTCAGCGGCTAAGTGCGAACGTTCCACTTTGGTGGCCCGGGGTCCACCAGTTCGGATCCCAGGTGCGCACCTACGCACTGCTTGGCAAGCCATGCTGTGGTAGGCATCCCACATATAAAGTAAAGGAGGTGCACACAGATGTTAGCTCAGGGCCAGTCTTCCTCAGCAAAAAGAGGAGGATTGGTGGCAGATGTTAGCTCAGGGCTAATCTTCCTCAAAAAAATGAAAATCTTATTTTTCTAAGAACTAAGACCATCCTAGGCCAGGGAAGGGTAAATTTCAAAAAAGAGACTACTCTCTTTACTCCTCCCTGAACATCTGTATTATATATAAATCTCTTCCAAGCTCAGCAATAGGCCAGGAAACCTGCTTCTGTTATTCCACCATGCCAAGAAAACAGAAGCATGGATAAATAACATCTGAAAGATGAAATGGCAAATAGTTCATTAACAAACCAACACAACTCAGATATTTCTTACCTCATATCTAGATATGTCCATTTATACTCTTTCTCAAGAACTACCCAATAAAGTGAATCGTCTGTACGAAGTCAAGTAAATTGTGACCTCCTTGGGGCCCAGTTTCCACATCTGAGAATAAATAGAGTTGGGGCTACATAATCCCTCAGTCTCTTTCAGCCCTAACAGTCTCATGGCCATGAAAAGGAGACATTGTTTATATAAGATTGCCTTAAAAGTCATTAGTTATCCAGGAGAAGCACATTTTGGGGGGCTACACAAAAGTAGTTGTAGAAGATTTGTTTACTGTTGAAATTTATGACTTAGTAAAATGCCTGGAAGAAAGCAAAACATAACTCCCAGGAAGAAAAATCTCTGGAATAGTCAGAGATGTTTGTTTGGTTTGGTTTTTTAGTTGTTTTTACTGTTTCCTGTGCGTTTACAGAAAAGTTTCAAAAATCAACCACTCCATGTTAGGTATACATGACTAGGAGTAAGTCAGATGATTTTAGAAATTCTATGCTTAAAAAAAATATCCTCCTAAAAATGATGCTTTTCTAAAAAAGGAGGATATTGAGAATTTTTTTTTAGTAGAAAACATTCTAGAATGCTATTAAAAGTAGGAACAGAATGGACTGGAGATTTTTTTAAGGACAGGGATGTCATGTTACACATGTGCTTCAGAGGATTTGTGTAATATTTTAAGCTCATCATCTTGTATTTGAATCAAAGATCAACAAAAGAATTACAATATATATTACTATATGATGTTATTAAAATTATTTAAAATATAATCAAGATAGTATTAAATAACTGCATCAGAATCCAAAAAGGGAAAAAAATGTGATTTTTATTTTATTATTTATTTTGCCATCTAGGAGCAGCACTACAGTTTTGTAGAGTGAAGAACTGACTAGAAGGAATACTTTGGATTGTGACAAAGGCACATCCTTCCTTAAACATTTACCTCAAACCTAACACAGACCTGAAATACTTATATTCGTCATTACTTTGGGTTCCGGTACTCTGGGTCATTGCTAAAATACAATATACTCTCTGGAGGAACAACGCAATCTAGTAACATTTATTTTGGATTAATTCAACAAATTAACTAGTCACCTAAAATGCTAGCCACAAGCAGCTATAAATCAGCTGCTAAAATGCTAATGTAATCTTAATCTATATTAATAGAAGTGTAATTTCATAAGTAAGAAAATAAAACCAAGGGTAGGAAAATGTCAATGTAATTTGGGGGAGAGATGGTAGTAAAGAAGGTGAAAGAAGGAAGGGCCCGAGGGTAGAGATGTCCCGATGGGAGGACCTAGCAAAGGAGCAGCAAAATGGGAGAAAGTGGGAATTCTGAAAGTAGCACTGAGATTCCAG